AACTAAACAGAAAATACAACATTTCCAGTAATCCTATTTTCTGGTAATCTTTTATTCTAACTAATAATCTTACATTCCGTGAACCAAACGCACCCTAGAATTTAATTAAAAAAATGAAAAATAAAGTTAAGTTTTTTTCCCTTTAAAAGCTACAGAAACCCGTGCAGGAATTACACATTTTCCTTTTGATGGCTGATTCATTTTGTTTGTTTCAAAGTAATAGTAATTAAAAATTATTTCAGAAAGTATGAGAGGTCTTTTAGGGTTTTCTTGGTTGTTTGTATGGTTAGTTTTTCTCGACCGGCTGCTCGGACAGCTGATGACCAGCTGTTACCTTCAGATGATCAAGGAGGTGGTCCGTTGGAGGAAGGTAATCATATCACAAGGGTTAGTGAATGAGAAAAAGGGGAAGAGGTGGTAGTTGATAACGGTATGGAAGTGGAAGCTGATGATCTACCATCTTATATGGAAACTCCGAATACTGGGGTACAAGGGGAACGTGTGTTATATGCAGGAAAGTTGACTAGCCCGAACCATGGAATCGCTTCAGACATGAGCTTCTTTGAGAGGTATGATGTGGTGTTGCAGGAGGGTGACGTGGTAATTGTTAGGAGCGGGGTTTACCCTATGATTCAAATCTCAAATCGGGTCCATGATAGCATTGATAAGAACATAAAGAGATCAATAGTTGTTCATTTATTGGGTAGGACAAGTGGTTACCCTGCTCTGTGGAATAAGATTAAAACGTTGTGGCAACCTCAAGGTATATTTCAATTGATTGATCTAGACAATAAATATTTTCTGGTGAAGTTGGAGAGTGAAGCGGATTATAACAAGGTTTTGACGGAAGGGTCTTGGGTAGTGTTTGAAAGCTATCTAATGGTCCAACCATGGAGCAGGAATTTCTCTATAATGGATGGCTACCCTTCTCATGTGGTTGTGTAGATTCGTTTACTGGGCCTACCATACCGGTATTACACGAAGTCGGTGTTTGGTATGATAGCGAATGAAATAAAATGAGCGGTTAAAGTAGATTATAATACCAATGGGGGAGAAAGAGGGAAGTTTTCAAGATTGGCGGTAGTTGTCGATTTGAATAAACCCCTTCTTGCATGCATTATGATTGATGGTTTCATCCAAAAAATATAATACGAAGGTCTACAGTACAATGTTTTAAGTGTGGCATTTATGGTCATTTTCAAGACCTTTGTGGAAAACAATCAAACGAGAAGAATGTGGAGCAGGTGAACCAGGAGGTGGCTCGGGTAGAGGATTTGGGCAGAATGTCGAGGAGTGGTGAGGACGTTTATGGCCCTTGGATGATGGCACCGGGTTGACGACGTCGTGTGAAGAAACCTGTAGAGGAAAGTAATGGCTCTAAAGGGAATGAAGCTCAAGTTGATAAGTCTCGATTTGAGCTACCGAGTACTCTTGAAACTAATTGAACAATAGGGACAGAGGATGTTGTTAACGTGAGGAATCCATGGGAGGAAAATAATGTGGTCTTAAAGGAACGGGAGCGGGTGCCAAATAGCAAAGGTAATGAGCCATTAACGAAGGAAAATACTGGGAAGGGATCCGCCCAACAACGAGGAACATTTAGAAAGGCTGGAGTGTTGTCAATTAATGAACTGGGAAGCAATCAACCAAAGGAAGTCTTGAAGGACATAACGAAGAAGATGGTTAATTTGAACCAAGTTGAAAGAAGCAATGGTATTCAAGTGAGTGCATCGAAGAAGAACTAGAAGGTTCAGGCAAGTTTTCATACACTCGTAATACCCCAAGAAAATCATAGTACAGTAATAATCATGGAACTGGGGAGAGGTAATAAGGCCGAAGGTAGAACCAAGAATGAGGTTGGCAAGACGGGACATCGTAGAGGAAGTAGAAATATGGTTGCGAAGGGGATATGTGTGAAGAAGATTACAACTCATAAAACTCATGGTCGGCCTTTTTTGTCTTAATGGGTGCTTTCAGCATCTAATAAACTTTATAAGGCTCTTAATAGCTCTCGTGATAAACGGGACAAAGGAGCGGCGATCTTGTCAAGTGAAGAACACTTTGCTATTTCGATGAGGGATGAGAATATTGAGCAGTTAAATGACAATGCTCCTACAGAGAGAGGTCGCTAAAACAAATTTAATGTTAAAGATTAATTGTTTGATATGGAATACACGGGGTGCAAGTAGCCTCGCTTTTCGACGTAAGGTGAAACAGTGTTTTAAAGAGTTCCAACTGAGTTTTATGGCTTTGCTTGAAACTAGAGTGAGTGGGAAGAAGGCTGATGATGTTATCCAGAGACTGGGATTTCCTAATTCTTTTAGAGTTGAAGCCTAGGGTTAATGCAGGGATTTGGCTGATGTGGTTGGACAAGATATATGTTTTTATCCTTGGCATTTTTAATCAGTTTGTTCATTCCCTTGTTCAAGTGATTGGTTTGAATTGATCATTCTTTGTGACTGTTATATATGTTAGCCCCAATATTTCTATCATAAATGGGGTGTGAGAGTTGTTGGAGGAGCTTAATCCAGACAATTACAACTCCTGGTTACTTGGAGTAGATTTTAATGGCCTCTTTCAGCTAAACGAACGTCGATGAGGGGCAGTGAATCGGGATGGAATAAGTGGAGGATTTTCCAATTTTGTTATGAATTTGGCTCTGGTGGAGGTCCCTATCCAAGGTTTGAAATTTACTTGGGCTCGTGGTTCTTTGTATCAGAGGTTGGATAGATGCATTATGAACGATGGTTGATTAAACCTGTTCCCAGATTCTGTAGAATTTCATCTTCATCGTATCAGATCAGATCATTGTCCAATTGTGTTGCGAACGAGGAAATTGCATAGTATGAGGGGTGAGCATCCGTTTCACTTTGTGTTTTCTTGGCATATTCAAGAAGATTTTGAAAAGCTTCTTAAATCTTCTTGGGTGGAGAATAATGATGTGGATTTCAATATTCGCAAATTACAATATAAATTGGAAGTGCGGAATAAGTCCTTTTTTGAGTTGATTGAGAAAGCTTTAATGCATCGACACTTTGATTCATTGGCTGATTTAAAAGTTCAACTAAAAAGAGAGCTAGAGGTGGTGTTAAGTCAGGAGGAAAGTCTTTGGGCCCAAAAATCACATTGTAATTTGATGATTCAGGGGGTTCTGAACACAATTTTTTCCATACTACAACTCAATTACGACGTCGGTGAAACACAATTGAAAGGCTTGAATTAGAAGATGGCTTGTGGCATATGGATCAGAAGGAACTCAAAAGGAGTGTAATTCGATTTTATTCATCCTTGTTTGCTAGTCAATGACCATATGGATCCTTTTATCACGTTCTAGCTCAATTTCCAAAACCTCAAGGCGGCGTAAAAAGTGTGTTTGCAACTCCCGTTTCGTATGACGAGGTTTGTACTGTAATGTTTAGCATGGATCCTTTCAAGTCTCTGGGAGTGGATGGATATCATGTGTTTTTCTTTCAACGAAATTGAGGAGTGGTCAGTGATGTTGTGTATTGGCTTGTGAAGGATCTTTTTGAGAATGGGGCAATTAAAGAAAAACTCAATCGAATGTTGCTAGTTATGATTCCTAAGACGCGTAACCCGAAGAGCTTTGTTCAGTTCCGACCTATAAGTCTGTGTATAATGTTGTATAAGGTTTTCACAAAGGTGATTGATCTTTATGTCGGCTTAAGTGTCTAAGAACCAATCCAGTTTTGTTGCTGGAAGGAGCATCGCGAATAATGTTATTATCGCTCAAGAAGTTATGCATTCCATGTGTTATAAAAAGGAAGGAAATGGTGGATGGCAATTAAAATCGATCTGGAAAAAGCATACGATCGATTGGAATATAATTATATTGCAGACACTTTACGAGAAATTGATTGTTCGGGAGATATGCAGCGCTTGATAATGAGTTGCGTTTCAACAGTTTCAACACAGGTACTCTAGAATGGTTCAAAGAAGGAAAGCGTTAAGCCTTCTAGAGGTGTGAGGCAGTGTGATAATACACTGTCACCTTATCTTTTTGTATTGTGTATGAAAAGGCTGGAGCATGTTATACAACAAGCGTCATGATGGTATGTGGAAGCCCATACAATTAAGTAGGAGAGGTCCAGTGATTTCCCACTTATGTTTTGCGGATGATCTTGTGTTGTTTGCGGAGGCCTTTATGGAGCAATTTTGATTTATTCAGCAGATTCTAATGGATTGTTCTTGTTCTTGTCAAAAGGTGAGTCTTGCTAAAACATATATTTTCTTTCTAAGAATGTGGAGCAGGCTATCCGGACAAGAATTAGTGATGGATTCCAATATTTTCCGATTTATAATTTAGGGAAATACCTTGGAGTTCTCCTTCACCAACGGGTTAATTATGGAACCTATAGTTATTTGATTTAGAAAGGGATCACTTGAATGGTTAGCGGGCTAAGACATTGTCTTTGGCGGGAATAATAATTATGGCCAAGTCGATGTTAATTGCGCTTCCATCGTATGTGATGCAAACTTATTTTTTATCGAAGAAGATATGTGATGAGATTGAAAAGTTGATTCGTAGTTTTATTTGAGGACACTCGGATAAAAATTGAGGCCGCGTCCAGTGTATTCTGCTTTGGTAGTGCTCCGTATCTTAATTTTTTAAAATAATAAAATGCAAAAATAATAAAATATTTATTTTGTAACGAAGTTAAAAACATAATCGTAAAAATATATCAACAAACGATTGAATTTAAATTAGACGTTACGAGTACGAGATAGGGCCAAATTAAAATTCATATGTCACATTACCCGAGTGGGACCGGGCAGGTAACCTGCCTATACCTACACCAAGTCACCAACCCTTAAACATTCTCACGTAACCTGCTGTCGTTATACGAGTAAAGAGAAAGATAGACGTATAATTTATATTATGAGGTGAATTTATAAAATATTACTAAAGTGAAACACAAATATAAAACAAATGGACATTTTTGAGAGGGGTGAAGGCATTCTTAATTAGAGAATAAGGTGAAAAACGAAAATATTCTACTCCTTTTGATTTGATTTGAAGCACAAAAGATGATTTCCAGAACCGCAAAGCCTTATATATTTGTCCGAATTGGAAACCCTTTATAATACATAGATACGTTGGTACAAACATTTCAAAAACACTAGAGAAAACCGTCACCAAATTTGCCTGCTGAAATGGAACTGCAAGAAGCATCCGTAAGCATCTTCACCACTTCTCTCATTGAAGGCCGCAGATTCGGAAGCTTGGCTGTGCACAGGATCCCAATCTTCAACACCTTAATCATGTCGTCTCGAGCACTCTCGGCCGCCACTCGATCATCCAGAGCCTTCACGACATTTTCGTCATCACCCAGATGGCTTAAAACCCAGTGCACTACATCTTTCCCTTCCCCATACTCTTCTTCAATCGATCCTTTACCTGTTACCAGTTCCAGTAGTACCACTCCAAAACTATACACATCACTCTTCTCTGTCACTCTTACAGTATATGCCAGTTCTGCCAAAGCAAATCATACACTAAAACATTACATATCCGAAATATTTACTTAGAAAAATGCTAAAAACGAAGTCTTGAAACTCACCAGGAGCAATATAACCATGGGTGCCAGCAAAGCTGCTGTACTCAGATCCCTTGAGGAGTTTTTCAGCAACCTTTGCAACACCAAAATCAGCAATTTTTGGTTCGTAATCCTCATCTAGAAGAATGTTGCAGGATTTGATATCCCTATGAATGATAGGAGGTGAACAATCATGATGCAGATAAGAGATTCCTTTAGCAGATCCTAATGCAATTTTATATCTTAGGTACCAATCCAATTCTGGCTTTCCACCTTTGTTCTCTCGCCGGAGTGCTTCATACACGTTGCCATTCGACATGTATTCGAATACCAAATAGTTCGATCCTCCTTTCATTAAACAAGCATAGAGTTTAAGTATGTTTCTATGCCTGATCTGTCCCAAGATGTCCATTTCAGCGGCCAAAACTTTCATACCATCCCCCTTCCATAGTTCTTTTACAGCGACGACGCTTCCCTTTTTCTTCAAATCGAGCCGATAAACTCGTCCAGTACCACCACTTCCGATCAGATTTTCTTCCTCCAGATTACATATTTCGTCCGGATCGATATCCATGTGATGAAAAGATGCAAGTTTCCATTTCAAATTCACTCCCTTCTTGCCTTCCAAACCCTTTTCAATGTTGGATTCTCTAAGCTTGAAGTTCTTGTAACTCACAAACAGTAGGCCAGCTAGAACAAGAAGCAAAGCAACTGCCATGATAACAAACACAAACAATTTGCCCCCCAACACCCTCTTATGGCCCTGCCCTTCGTTGCAGACATTCAATACGGTACGGTTCATAACTGTTTTCGAATATCGATCGATACAAAGTCCCTTATTCCCAAGAAATGCTTCATCTCCACCTATAGTCAAAAGATCAGAAGGAACATTTCCAGACAATTGATTATCGGACAAATCAATAGAACTTAGCCTCAAAATTTCCAGATTCTTTGAAATCGGACCGGTGAGCTTGTTTCCAGAAAGATTAAATGAGTTCAAAGAGGTCATCAATGAAATTGTTGATGGGATATCTCCACTGAATTCATTATCAGCAAGATTCAAGTCCACCAACCTAAAACAATTACCGATTTCATCCGGTATCGATCCCGTTAATGAGTTTTCCTCAAGATGCAAGGAAGATAACAGCTTCAAAGCACCAATTTCAGCAGGTAGATTGCCAGAAAAGCTATTATTATTCAAAAGAAGCCTCTCTAAGTTAGCCAACTTGCCAAGCTCTGATGGAAGATTACTTGAAAATCTATTGTTCTTCAAAACCAATTGATTTAAGCTGATGGAAAATGCAATCATGGGGGATATCCCTCCACTAAACTCATTATCACCAAAATCAATCATGGTTACCTTTGGAAGTGCCCAAACTCCATCAGGAATTTTCCCGGAAAGATGATTCTTATTGACCCTCAACCTCTCCAATGATTTGCATTCAACATACGAATCCGGAAACTCGCCGGAAAAGTTGTTGTCAAGTGCCAACAACAGCCTTAGTTTCCTGTTTCCACACAGGGACCTGGGAAATTCACCTGAAAATCGATTCTCCGATATGTCGATGCTGTCCAACGGTGAAAATCGTCCGAAATTCGCAGGAAACATCCCGGAAAAGTTATTTCTATAAACAGAGAAGCCTATGAGATGACGCATATCACCAAACCCTGCAGGGATTTCTCCAGAAAAGTTGTTGTTATAACATTGAAAGACCACCAAATTCTTCAGATTTCCAATCCCTTCGGGCAATGTCCCATGCATCTGATTCGACGAGATATCGATTTCCCGTAGCAGAGAAAGATCAGCAATCCCTGATGGCAACTCACCAGTAAAATTGTTGAAGAACAGCTCAATCTTGGTAAGGTTTTTCAATTTGGAAATGGAACTTGGAAAATCCCCAGAAATCTTGTTCCTTGAAATATCTAATGTCTGTAAAGCATTCAACTCAAAGATGGACTCTGAAATTTGTCCTCTTCGGTTGGACTTAGCTAGAAATAGCCACGTCAAGTTCTTCAAATTCCCAATGCTCTCCGGAACCTCACCTTCATCGTAATGGTTACCAGCCAAACCAAGATAAACCAGACCAGTTAAGTTCCCGACCCAACTTGGAAACCTGCCTGAAAAGAAGTTGACTGACAAATCGAGAACCTTCAAGTTTTGAAGCCCAGAAAGGTCTGGTATGGTTCCGATCATTGCATTCCAGGAAATATTCAAAACCCTGAGGCTGGAACAATTGTTTAACTCAGGAGGGAGTTTCCCGGAAATGAAATTTTGAGGCAAATAAAGGGTTCTAAGACTGTTGAGCGTTGAAATGGAAGGTGAAATTTCGCCGGACAGGGATTTGTTCGCAAGTGAAATTGCAGTGACACTGCCTGAAACTGGATCACAGTTGACTCCATAGAATTTGCACGTGGATTCTGATTCTTTCCAGGAATCTAAAACGTTTAAAGGGTCTCTCAGCATGCTTTTGAAGTCCAGAAGAGCTTGGGTTTCACTGGTGAGTGGTAGACAAGGCGGGAAAACAGCGGAAAACAAGATTGAAACCAGGGAAAGACATTGGATTCGAAAGGGTGAGAATGGGTGTTTAGCCATTGTTGAATCCTTGAACAACATAATTCAGGATCTCAAAGAAGGTAGAAAATGAGAATTAGGAAACAGAATCATTGACATTTGTGGATAATTCCAATGGTAAAAGCTGAAACAGAAAGAAACGCGATTACATAATCAAAATGGCTGAATTACTATGATTTTATTCGAACAAACATTAAAATAAACAAATAGACGATCTTTGAGCGAAGTAGGTTTTAGATTTTGCTGATGAAGAGGGGGAGAAACAGATGTGACGTTGAGACGTCAATTTTGTTTGTAGCTGTGGATAACTATTTGGCGTTTTTACAAAAAAATAAAAAATAAAAAACTCAAATTATATAATATTAGAAGTTAGGTATATTTATCCAAATATTATCGATCTAGCATTATTTCTGACAAAATGATAATAAGGTGCGTGACAGGGAGCGCGTCTTGCATACGTGGAGAGAAGGCACGTTACAAGAACCGCGCCTTCCATGGGTTTTATTCGATGTGGCGCCACGAGGGGAAAATGTGTCCCCGGTGATGCGCCTTTGCAGGGAGTTCTGACAGTTGGGAAAAACATGTTACAAGCCTCACACCTTCAATTTAAATTCCCACCTACCAACCTTTAATACCACTGAACTGCTCGTCCCTCTCCTCTATAAATATCTCCCTCATACAACACTCAAATCACACCAAAAATATTATATTCTTTCATTCTATCAATCATTCTATTAAACTTTAAGTATGTTTTGTTGTAGTTTTTAGAAGGTAAATTTTTTATTATATTATAATCGTTTAATAATTTATTATTTTATTATATTTTATTGTACTAATTTTTTATTACTTTTTGCAGTTATAAAATGGAAGGCGGGTTGTTGTGTACATTTTGTTGTTTTGTATCCAAGTTAGAGCTTGTCCTCTGAGCTTGGCAAAAAACGCTCTCAAACGAAAATATGTCATTCTAACCAAAGTTATTACTAGTAAATGGTGTCCCCTTTAAGGTCGAATTGATAGTCTCCACCAAGTTGGTTGTCATATATCTATATCGATATCCACCATCGTATACATTTGTTCATATTTCTTTGTTGATGAGGCTGATGTAATTATATCCTTGCTCGTTTTTTCCTCACAAATCTTGAAGCATGGACTCAAACGTTTGAGGTAATAGCTCATAATCAGCGCGTCAAATGTAATACTTACTGTTAAGTTCCCATAAAAAATGAAAATGATTGAGAAATGAAATTAGGCATCGTGACATACTCGTGCGCACAAGTAATTTGTGTTTATCATTTTTTTAAATATTTCATGATAGTTTGCAGTAATATATCGGATACAATACCAATGTTGGACATGAGATAGTTGCCACATTGGACCCAAAGAGTCCATTACTGCTTTGATTTGAGCTCCGCTGTCTGAAATGATGTAGATTTTTCTCCTGTGACAACATGTAAGTGTAAGTTTTTTAGGAAAAACCCAATAATCTATATTTTCACCTATAATAAGGGTAAAAGTAATTGGAAGAATGTTACGATTACCATCTTGGACAACTACCAATAATAAAACTTGATTGTATTTCCATACAAGAATGTCCCATCAATTTAGACCACGGATTTGCAGTATTTCACAACATTAATGCATTGTGGGTAAATTTAAAAAAGTTGGTAGAATTGACATCGATCGTGATTCATGTAACATATGTAATAGATAGGGAAACTGGCTTGGATGGTGTAAAATGTTGAGGGAAAATCACCGATTTCACTTTGTTCACGTTAAAATTAAAACCACTGAACTGTAAAGAAGCATTTATGTGTGTACAAGTTAATTGATGATTGTCCCTGACAATCATGTCATGAAAGCCTAAGCGAAGTTCACTATAAGGGCGCTGGAGGAATTCACAAGTATAGATCTTGTGTTCTACTATGTAAAATATCATCAGATGGTTTCCTCTTTCGCATGAAATCCAAATTATTGACGACTCCCTTGATAGGATACGAGTCTTGTTGAACAATGCTCATTGTATCCATACCCAAATTAGATGCATTGAGATTCCCAAGTTTAAGCTCTTACACGTAAAATTTTAGCTCAACTTCAGCCCCTGTAACAACAACAGCATACTCACTGCAGTCGTTTATAAAAAAAAGTGTCACTTCCGCCACCTGAGGACAGAGGTAGACATGAATCATGGTAAAGCTCTCGAGCCAAAGCCTCCTCCTAGTTAATGATAGCAAGCCTTGTTGCACTCTCATTTACCGTCATCTTGTCCTACAAACACTTGGATTGTCTTACAAGCATGCCAACCTTGGTAATATCAGGAGACATATGCTTGATTACTATCGTGAGAACCTCGACTTTCCAAGCTTTCTTCAAGTCATGAGGTTTCTTATAAGGAGGAGGTACTTGATCTTTGGGCAATCCAAGGTATGTCTACCATTCCCCATTGCCAGTAGGTCATCATGGTAAGGAACACTTTTCTCTAAAGGAAATCGTTTATGAGGGGGTCACAATGTTGCATCAGTGTAATCAAAAGAGATCTGAGTATTGTATCTTGAAGTTCCAGTAAGGAGTATGACGTCGGGACGATGGAGTTACAACTATCATTCTTGCCAGAAATCAAATTATCCATCTGGTACTTCGCAATAGCAACATGATCATTACGATCAAACTGAACTTTATCCTTTCACCATTCTTGAAGATTGTTAGATGCTTCGGTTACTGGTTTTTCTTTTTCAAGAATAATCCCATAAATAAAACCTTGAGCCTTCAAATCTCTATCATCTTCAACATGTACTTTATCCCATCCTGTGCCCTTAATATCTTTTTTCTCCTTGCTTGTTCTTGAGTGTAACATCCTCAATACCGGGTTAGTGAACAAATTGTAAAATTTCATAATTTGGTGATTAAAGCAGAATAGTTGAATAGTTCAATGATTTATTTAAAAATAAATCCTGAAAGTTGTTAGTAATTATCAAAGAAATTAAAGGGTAAAAAGGTCATTGAACAAATAAAAGAATAAAATAATATTTGAGGTTATCTTATAACCCACGTGGAAGATAAATGTGGGAAACAAATGCTTCCAGACATTTCTCTCATCTTCTTCTCTCTCTTCACCGTGAAGCATACAAGCAAAGGTAAGTTTTTTAGTTTAGCTAATTATTTGTTAATATTAAGATTGGGTTATGATCATTAGACGATAATTAAGCTTAAGGAAAGCTTAATTTGTTCTAAAACAATAAGATGAGTGAATTAGGAAGTGATTTGTAAAATGAGTTTTAAGATGTATTTTTGATATGGTGTGGTTTTTAAAGTTTTAATGAGATTTTTGACTTGTCATCAACTTAATTAAGAAGTATGAAGTGTTAGAATTGAATTTATAACATGTGGAAAATTTGGTATGATTCTTAATTTTAAGAATCATAATGAGATATGGAAGATAAAGATGGTTTATATGGATATAAGTTAGTTTAAGTAATGGTAGTTGAGTTTAATGGTATGATAGGGGCTTAAAATAGAAGAATTGAGTGAAGAGTTGATGATTTTCGTGTTTAAATAGTAAATTCTGGGTAAAATTTATAGATTATGTAGAGGGTACAGATACCCCCTGGGGGGAATCGATACCCCCTAAAGGAAAAATGGAATTTTTTGTTCATTAAACTAGCTTAAGTTATTAACATCAAGTTTAAGGTTTAGGCTTCTGATAATTGTTTTGAAAAATTACATTTATGTAGATATAGAGCCTAAATGAATTTCAGAACAATTAAAGAATTAGGATCGAATCAAAGCAAGGCTAAGGTGAGTGCAATTTAATTTGTGCTTATAGAACGAAAATTGGCTTACGATGAGCCTGTGATGGAGTTACTATGGTAAAATATGTTGTGTGATATATATATATATATATATATATGAATATAAGTAAACAAGACATGACATATGTGCTTACATAAAAACATGAGAAATAAAATAAGCTATGTGATAAGGATATAGAGAATGAAATGAATGACATGAAAATGTATGTATGCTTGATTATATGAGTGGATATGTTCTTGTAAATGCTATGTGGCTTATGTCAATAAATGGAAAGGTGAATGATATAATAAGAAGTTATGTGATAAGAAGATATGGGTTTATATGAACTAAAAGTGTATATGTGAAATAACATGATAGGTGATAAAATCGTGAGCCTATATGAATATATGATATGAATGTGATATATGTGATGTATGTGAAACATATGAGAACAAGAGATGACAATAATTTACATGTCATATGAACACAAGAGAAGTGTTATAAGCAAAGTGACATATGATTATGAAATCATATGAAAAGTGAAATGTGCATGTGAATATGTGAAATGATATAAATGATAATGTCCATGTTATGTGATATGAGAGCTAGTGGTATAGTTGGCATGCCAAGAGTCGAGGGTCTAAGCGGTTCTTCGGGATAATTCTACGTGGTCTTTCGGGATATATATATATATAATTTCGTGGAACATGTATGTGGTACTTTGGTACACTTATTTGGTCCATTATATTATGTATATGGTTCTTAAGGAGTGGTCCTTCGGGACATATGTGATATATGGTCCTTCGGGACATAGTGGTCCTTCGGGACAAATATTCAGTGCCCCTAGTGGGAATTTAAACGAGTTGTGGTGACAACATTAGTGCACAACCTCAATGTACTCACATACCTTCAATTCTCACCAGTGTACCATAGGCTAATAAAGAGGTAATATCAAATACAATATATATATACGATGTATATGTTTGTTTTTATGATACGAAATGCGTTATATGAATTATATGATGTTATGTGTGTTTTGTTATGAAATGATATATGTGTTCCATGATGTATATGGAAATGTTCAACATATGCTTATATGATAAAAAGGAATTAGTGATAATAATATGATTATTAATAAATATGTTCATGATAAATGTATATGTGTGCATTGGTTATACAATGGGAGATATGCTTTTATATGATATGATAGTATTTATAGATGTGTTCCTTTTGTTTATATGAAATGATATATAGTTATATTATATGTTTTTATATGCCTCACTAAGTTATCGACTTAGCGTGTGATTGTTTCACACGTAGGTTTGGAAAGCGAAAAGAGAAGTAAAGAGGAACAAGACATGTCAGTTCTCCTTACCAAAGATCAGATCAGAAATGTGAATCGAATTACATGTATTTGTTAGAAATAATTTAGTTGGCATATAATAAAAAAATATTTGTATTAGATAAGCTCTGATCGAGTTTTGGAATGTTTTAAACATATATAGGTAAATGG